GTTTTCTACCAAATTGAAATTTCACAACAAATTTGCTTTGAATTAGAAACCTGTCTAATTTATTTAGCTTTTTAATGTCTCTTTGTGTAAGAGAATGCAAATCAGAAATTACAGTGTGGGCCTGGAAATTACTAGGTGTTCCAACAAAGATACAGGTTTAAAACACTTCAGTGTTGAGGACATGTTTGTAACCAGAACAAAACTGAGTTCTTCACAGATTTAAGCTTCTTAGGTTTTGCTTTCATTGCCCTAAGACTTACAGAAAAGACACCAGGATGCAGAGTGTATTTTCGTTTGCCTCCAAACTGAGCAGGCTGCCAGCTGAACACAGAGGTGGCTGTGTGTTAGGAGGGAAAACTTGGTTTTATGTCACTCCTGAAATAAGCATGTTTTCCCTTCTTTTACTCTACATGCCCTTTGGGACAGGAGTGGGAAGGCAGGAGGAATACTTTCACAAGCCCCCTCCAAACAGCAAAAAGTGCCAAGGTACAGGAGTACATGCTCATGAGCCGTGCATGACTATGCTGCCATGCATTGCTGTATAGAAGCTAGATGTTGGGTCATTTTTAATGTGCTATAGAAATCTTGTATGACTTGCTCAAGGTTGCTCTCAGACCGGAAATTGCCAGGGATAAAAGCAGTAAGTCCAGCTACTCCTATAACTGGAAGACAGAACTGTGTCTCCAGAATGCACAGATGAGGAGAGACATGTGGGTTGCATGGCACACATCTGGTTTGCCTTCCCAACCTCCCTCAGAAGCTCTAGGGTCATCATTGTGATTATTTATGATAACTTTTGCTGACCCCTAGTTGCTAATTGTCCCACTGTAATATGACCAGTATATTGATAACAACAAACATTAATATCAGGTAATAGAATAGCTCTCTTCCATATTCTCTCTCTCAAACTCTGTTAAAGAGATTAAAAACCCAAACCTGCTAGTACAAACTTCCAAAAATAAACTGAGCTTGGCATAAGAAAAAGTGATGAATGAAGTTCCTTTTTTATTTGAGGGGTGTGAACACTTTAAGTCTATTTTCATTTTAATGGAAACATTTTTTCTGTCAACCTGCCAATTCAAAATAAGGTTAGCAAAACAAGCCTAAAAATAGTGAAGGTGTAGTACACCTAAGAAATTGTGAAAGTATTGACTGAGCTAAAGTAAATACCATATTATGACCCTAGTTGAGCACTTTATATGTATAATATATGTCTAAAAATAAATACATGAATACTAGGATACGAGCCAAAAGCTCAGAGGTCTGTTGGACCTGGTTAGCTAACTAGATGACTGTATTTCAGATAAATATAGAGCTATAACATTAGTCTTGTCAAGAAGTGGCTTTAACTAAAAAAAGATATCTTTTTCTGGCTTTAAATTGTTAAACCCCCAATCTGCCTAAGGATTGAAAGGGGTAAACTCAATCGGAAAGACAAGCTTGTAAATATCCAGCTGATCTTCTAGCATGAGGTCTCAAAAATAGATATATTTAAAAATAAAGATGATTTTACTTCGGAAGAGAAAAGAACTAAATCTAAGCTCCTGAAAGCTTGTAGCACTAAGTGCTTAAGACGTTTGTTTAGTGCTCATAGTAAATATGGTAAAATGTTATATACTTTGAGACCTTTGTGACTTGTGGCTGCTCACTTCCTTCTATTAGATTATACTGTACATGAAGTTTAGCTTTCAGGGTTTTAATAAAGAATACTGTCTTTATTCTCTAGTGCTGAAAGAAAATCAGATTTTTGTTTCTCTAGCTTTTAAAATCAATGTAGTTTTTTTTAAGTAACCGGGGAAGATTAAGCTTACAGGGAGAGTATCCATGTGAACTTCATATCAAAGATGTTTTCAGACACTGCTTGTTGATGCAACTTTTTTATGCAGCAGGAGAAAACCCTACCACAAAGGTTTCTGAGAGTTACAGCTAACAAAATTTCATGTTTATTTATTTTAGTTTAGGACAAAAGTATTTAGGCCACATTATTTGGGGGAATGTTTCTGTAGTTAAGGAATGTGGGCTCCATAAGGAAAATAAGTCTGCAAATCAAAAGACCTGAAATCCATTACTGTAGATTCTTATTGGAAGTCTGGAGCCAGTGAACTGAAGGAGAGCCTAGTTTAGTCACTTGCTGACTGAAGGCAGACTGGGAGAATGCGCTGTGAATGGAGGGTAGCTGTGCGGTGGGACAGATAATGCTAAGACATGCTAAGAAAAGAAAATGTAAATGTATTGTCTGAGAAGTAAAGGTCTTTGTAATTTGCAGTGACAATTTAGTTCTCACAATATCCTTGTGGTCAGTGGGGTAAATACTGTTCATTTTGTAGATGAGAATACTTGTTTGAGATTGCATGGTCAGTTACCAAAAGACCAAGTGAAGGCAGACACATACACCTGGAAACTGAACTTGTAACCCTTCTGAATGAGTAATCTCCATGAACTGTAGCATACACACTAAGGCAATAGCTTCATAACCTCTTCAGCTAATTCTGTATCTATGTCTTCTTCCTCTTATTGCTTCCAGATAGGGAACTAAAAATGTCTATTAATTGCTGCCATATCTTTAGTGATTCCTGTTTTTCATGTAATTTCAAATAAGCTCAATTAGTAGGAAGTATGCCAAGATGAGCATGAGTAAGTTTGGGTGCTGAAATTCTCAGAAATTAAAGGAGTCTGTGTTTCAGGAAGCCTCCCGAAACTTGGGAGTTGTCTAAAGCAGTGCATGGCTGTAATAAATATATTAAAAACTCTGCTGAAATTGAAACTTTTTATTTTCTACAGACTCAAGGCAGTCTTTCATTAGTTATTTAGAAAAAAAAAAACAAACAAAAACCTGTTTCCCCAAATATGCACTAATATTTTCTTTTCCTGTGGAAACGTTGAAAGCCTGATTTAAGATAAGGTTCAGACGCAAAGCCAAGCATGTCTCCAGATTCTGGACACTCAGTAAGCTGACAGAATTTAAACCAGAACTTGGAAGCAGATTTTTTTATTTTTTCTTTGTTTTAAGCCTACAGTCGTGTTGCTAAAGGCAAGCTGAAAACCTCACAGCTTTTGTTGTGCAACATCTGCAAGTTGAAAGGCATCCAGTTCTGGGAACCTGTATTATCCTGACATAAGCGTGAAACTTCTTCTTTGAAGGATGCTTCCAAAGGGAAGGGAACCTGGCTGTGAGATCACTGAGGTTTTCTTGTTTGCTGTTTTTTATATCTGAGCTGGCAAATAGTATATACCAGAAGTTGCTAGCACTGTTTTGCATGCAGGTGGCGTCAATATTAGCTGTCTTCTATAAGTCTGTGTCTGCTAGTACTGAGAAGCTGTGCTACGTTTCTCACTTGTTGCAAACTACTATTTCAAGTACTGTTCAATAACAGTGGTCAGCAGAAACGGCTTTAAAAGCTTTTTTTGAATGAAACAGGTTTTCATCCAAAAAACTAAGTTTTATACAGCCTGTAAAACTAAGACCCCATAACTTAACTCAGTGAGGGTCCTGATTAAGTCCTTATTTGCTTTGTAGATGAATACAAACCAGTTAAATCTTTTTAAAAGTTGAAAATTATAGGGTACCTTTATTTCGGTACTGTTTGGGCTAGTTGATAGAATCAAATCACTTTCTTCTGGGAGAAGGGAGTGGGGGGGAAAGCAACCAGCCAAGCTAATTAATTCCCTTTGACTAGTTCTTTCCAGCTCAGCCTCTAGCAGCTCTGTGGCTTATGTTCTGCTGCTTTTACTGATTTTCATCAAGACTGAAATCTAAATTCTTTATTCTGAAATGCTTTGCATTCAGGATGAATAATGGGACTTGCCAAAACTAGGGGTCCTTGGTCTGTGGTGTGACTGGGTTAGGTGACCTGTCTTTAGGCTGATTCTGGTGGCTCTCCTTCCTGAGAGGTGCCTTGGGAGCACACTCTGTTCTGGATGAATTGCACTTTCCCAGTCATGTGCAGGGCAAGCCTGTTTGCTACCTATTCAGCTAGGTGAGAGGAAGGTCTTGAAGGCCTGTAAGATGGTATCTAGGGGTGGGCTACTGCCACTAGTGCACTCACTTGTCAACATGAAGAGCAGCTTCTTCAGTGCCTGAGGAGCTCCTTGCAAAGGTGGCAATGGCACAGGGTTGGCCCCTGGGTCAGCAGGTTACCTGTGGCTGTTTGCAGCATTTCCTGAACAGATCTTCTACAGATGTGTCTCTTGTCTTTAGTCAGTTCCTGAGGCAGGAAGGGTCCATCTTGTGCTGGGGAGGAACTGACCAGAAAACCAGGGTATTCCTGATCTGTAAATCTTTAGAAGTAATTTATAAAGACATTTGTGATAACAACAGTTGGAAGGGCTGGCATTAATCTGAAGTTAATGAATTTTTATGAGCATTAGATTAGCTGTACACTGAGGAAAAATCTTCTGGTGAAGAAGACTTTGCATTGAAAACGCTGATGTCATCAGTTTGATGTGGCTTGATGCAGCAGAGTGTGCAACAAATATCATTCTACACCAAAATGTCACCAAAATAAAAACTGGATTGAAAGATCTAACATTACTGTGAGTAGCACATACAGTCAGGATTTGCTTGGGATTTTGAAATTACTTTGTTTCTTGCCACAGATGAGAACCGGCACTCCTGAATAGCATAGATGAGAAACTGCCAGGTGTAAAATAAAAACCAATTTGCAGTAGCAAATTTAGGACTTTCAGGTTCTTCATATATATATATGAAGATATATCTGTATTTGGGATAAAACTCAGTCAAACCAGCACTCTGACTATTCTGAGATTAAGTGATCTCCTAGTATTTGGATACTAAATTACATTATGTAAATATATTGCATACTATAAATATCTAGGTGACTTAGCAAATCTCTTCTGGAAAGTACCTCTGAAAGATGCAGCTTCACTGATGTTCTCATGACTTAGATCCAGTCACTTAATAATTAGTAAAATATTAATTTCATAATTTTCCTCACCATTGAATCTTATTGCTAATGTGTGTGTGCTTTTAATTATTATAGGAAATCTATCAGTGGTGTGGCTCATCATGCAATAAATACGAGCGGCTGAAGGCTACTCAAGTTGCTGTTGGCATTCGGGACAATGAACGAAACGGAAGGTCTAAATTAGTTACTGTGGAAGAAGGGAGTGAACCAGACCAGCTCATAGAGGTATTGTGATATACATACCGGTTACTAACTTAGCTGTGAATAAAATGTTTTTATGCCTCAAGAACTAAATGGGATTTGTCTCAAGCCTCAAGTTCTTCAAGGATTCCAGGAAGTCAGATTTAGGTTATGGGAGGCCAGCTTATACTTCTTTTCCCTCCTTATCCAAGCACTGTTAAATTCATTGGGCAACAGAATCTGAGAGAATTAATCATCTGGGAATACCTTTTCAGGAACTTAATGTTTGCTTTTTTATTTTTGAGTTAGCCGTAAGGCGTCTGAATGGACAGCATAGCTCACACCTCAACCACGCCGCCGGCTCTGTATGGGGAAAGACCAGCATGGAGGTGGGACAGAACCAAGCAAGAGGAAAGATACAGAATTAGTATGTCTGTGAAGCAAAAAAATGTAGCAAATTCCATCGAGATTCATGAAGCCAAGCAGGCTGCCTAACCATTTCTATGACAAACTCTCCTGCAGCTGGCCTCTAGTAACCCTTGTGTACTTAAAATGTTTAACCATTTACTTTAAAAAGAGTCGAAAGAATATTACAACTTACAGAGTTTTCAGATCTTGGAAAAAAGAAAAAAAAGCACTGATTTTTTTGCAGGCCACACATGCTAATTAAAGCATTCATTGTCACTTTTCATTGTGTGCTAGATAAAGCCTTTTCTATTCATTCTCCAAAGAGAAGGAAGAGGGAAGCAGGGTCATAAACCACTCTTCAATAAAATGGAAAATGTACAGTTGGAATATTGTCTTGTACTTTAGATTAACTTCAGGAAGTAATGCTAATGGTGCATGCAGGTATGCCATTAATTTTGGTGGTGCTTGCATTCAGTTTTGTCAAGTGCAGTGTAAATAGTTATTGCCTAAGCACAAAACATGCCAGGTGCTGAGTTGCCTCCTGTGGCCATGCTAGATGTGATCACCGCCCCTTTGGATGATCTGTACATCTGCTTGCAAAGGCATTTTTTGCTATGGGTTGTAAATACACATGTGGTTGTGCTCAAAGTAGGGGAGGTGGCACCCAGCACACCACAGATTTTTTGAAGGGTTAAGAAAAAAAACAAACCCAAACAAAAAAATCCTTTTTCTGGCTTTTTACTTCCTTGTACAGACTTCTCACACCAGCTCTGATGTGGCACATGCTTTACACCTGTAACTTTTTTTTTTTTTTTAATTTTTAATTAGGATATAGAATCACAAAATGGTTTGGGTTGGAAGGGACCTTAAAGATCATCTGGTTCCAAGTCCTCTGCCATGGGCACGGACACATCTCACTAGACCATGTTGCTCCAAGCCCTCTCCAACCTGGTCTTGAGCACTGCCACAGATGGGGCAGCCACAGCTTCTCTGGGCAACCTGTGCCAGGGCCTCACAACCCTCACAGGAAACAATTTCTTCCTTATATTTAATCTAAATATCCCCTCTGTCAGTTTAAAGCCATTCCCCCTTGTCCTATCACTACATGCCCTTGAAGAAGACCCTCTCCAGATTTGTTGTAGACCCCCCTTTAGGCACTGCTATACGGTCTCCTCTGAGCCTTCTCTTCTCCAGGCTGAACAGCCTGTCTTCATGGGAGAGGTGCTCCAGCCCTCTGATCATCTTCGTGGCCTCCTCTGGACTCGCTCCAATAATAAATGTTTTTTTTATAATTTTCTATTTATTTATCTTATATTTATTTTGTTTCTATTTCTATTTAATATTTTTATAATTAATCTTTTCTTCATTTGCTCAGTAGTATATGAAGAAGTTTCTGCTGTTTCTTTTTGCATTGTTAATATAGAGGGAAATAAAATGGGTAGTTCAGAGCAGGTAGGTTCATGGCTTTCATTACCACCACTGTCATGAGCCTGATTTGAGTGAGTTTGTCATCATCCAGAGCTTACCTTCTAGCTTGCGTTATGCTAGGTAGCTGTGCTTTAGGAAGTGCTGGTCACATAACAGGGTCTGCAGCTCAGCTGTGTCTGTCCCACTCCAAGCTCTGAAATGTGATGCTGGTACACCAGGAGGGTAGTTAACCTCACAAACATATGAAACTTATTAATTCCTATTCCTGTTAAAGTGATATCCAGTTCCTGGTGCTCTTCATTTTGATTTCTCCTTGCTGTCACAAAATGGTCTCTAATTTGCTATAGCCCTTACCCAGGCTGACTGCCCTGCATCAGGAAGGATGGACTTTTGCCATCTCTAGCCGTCTTAGAAAAAGGTTGATTTATTTAGGAGGCAAAATAATTATGTACTTTAAGTATTTATTTTGTCATCCAGTATGCCACTGAAATCGGAATGAGATTTCCTGAAATTCTCTCTGATAAGTGTCAGGAATGATTTCCCCTCCTGTGAGCTAGAAATCTGCTTCCATATGAGTGGCTAAATGGCTAAACCTGCTTGTGCAGTGCTGCCAGAGAAGTGTTCACCAGGCAGGGGCTGATATACTCACCACGAGTACCGAGGTAAACAGCCAACAGCGCTCATAGCCCTGCTCTGTAAGCACAGAGTCCTGACTCCCAGCCAGCAAAGGAAGACTGCTGTGCCTGTACTCACAGAGGCCAGGCACAGGCTCATTCCACAAACCCTGCCAGCCTTCTGTCCTGCTATGGGATTAGCAGAGGTAGCAGTGGCCATGCCAGGCTGCTGTTTCCAGGCCAGTCGCTTTCCCGCTGGGAGCTGGGGAGTTGCAGGTGAGCTGAGCTAGTCTGACAAGGGCAGTTGCCTACTCACAGCTATCGTTTTTAGCAAGAAGTGGGAACAGGCTGGCACGGCTTGAACAATTTGCTCATGGGAGAGAGCATGCTGTAGGGCTGGATCAATTGATGTGACAGGCCAGCAAGATAGAGCTTGCTTGCCCTGGGAAAGGAGAGCAGCTAGAAGCTGGGCACATGAGTAGTTTTGATGGCAGCAAGCCTGTTTTTCATCTGCCATAGTGACCAGGGGCCACTTGAGAACACAGTGACCATCCTGTGCTTGCACTCAGGAAATGCAGCATGTCTGGAAAGCTCAGACCTGCAGTGAGAGCACAGAAGGTCTCATAAGATGCTGCAGGAATCACTAGAACTCTTTGGCTGCAAGGACAAGGCAGAAACTTTCTGTGCGGGCACATCAGAGGTATTTGATCTGGCTGTTTGTACTTGAGGTGAGGTACCAACCAGCAGTGCAGTATAGGGTTGCTGCCTCATAAATTTAGAAAGTAACAGACCACCTTGGACAAATTGCTGCTGTTGCTGCTCAGTAGCTGTGACTGGTCTCCACAGTCACAGCTGCCCATATTAAAATGCACCAGATGCTGACTCTGCTCTTAAACACATAAACAGCTGAATAAAGTTACTCATTCTGCTGGATTTTAGGCCTGAATGTTTAAACTGTGTTACAGGAAATTTTTCACCTGCATGAGACCAATCCAAAAATAGGTCTTAGCAGTCCTTGAGTCAGTTTGGTTGCTCTAGAGTCACCACATTAGGGTTAAAGCTAGCCACGCTTCTTTTTTAACTTTAACCAAAAGGAACACTAAATATATAGTTTCAAAACTGACCCCAAATTCTCTAGGGTCCATTGTGGGCCCTGTTGCTTGTCTTTCTGACTGGTTACAGTCACAGTGCTGCATTTGGATGCTCAGGAGATCACTGAGGCCTGAGAGAGCAGCCACAGTGCCAGGTAGTCGTACTCAGGACAGACAATTTTCTGACTGTAGCTGGAATCTCTCCTCTAATTCTGAAGAGAGGATAGCACTGGGGAACCTGAATTTTAAAAACAGTTCCCCATGATCTCATTATGTAATGTCATGGGAAATGGTGAGTGGGATGGGTGATGGACTGAGGTACCCTGTCTCAGTGCAGTTACTGTCCACTGTTTGGCTAGTGAATGTGTGAGCTGTGCTTCTGTAGTAGTAGGGGAAGTAGTAGTGAAGCGGAAAGGGACCTGCGGGTCCTGGTGGATAGGAGGATGACCATGAGCCAGCAACGTGCCCTTGTGGCCAAGAAGGCCAATGGCATCCTAGGGTGCATTAGAAAGAGTGCGGTTAGTAGGTCAAGAGAGGTCCTCCTCCCCCTCTACTCTGCCTTGGTGAGGCTGCATCTGGAATATTGTGTCCAGTTCTGGGCCCCTCAGTTCAAGAAGGACAGGGAATTGCTTGAAAGAGTCCAGCGCAGAGCAACAAAGATGATTAAGGGAATGGAACATCTCCCTTATGAGGAGAGGCTGAGGGAGCTGGGACTCTTTAGCTTGGAGAAGAGGAGACTGAGGGGTGACCTCATCAATGTTTACCAGTATGTAAAGGGTGAGTGTCAGGATGATGGAGCTAGTTTTTTTCAGTGATGTCCAGTGATAGGACAAGGGGCAATGGGTGTAAACTGGAGCATAGGAGGTTCCATATGAACATCAGGAAAAATTTCTTTACTGTGAGAGTGGCAGAGCACTGGAACAGGTTGCCCAGGGGGGGTGTGGAGTCTCCTACACTGGGGATATTCAAGGCCTGCCTGGACAAGTTCCTGTGTGATGTACTCTAGGTTATCCTGCTCTTGCAGGGGGGTTGGACTAGATGATCTTTTGAGGTCCCTTCCAACCCTTGGGATTCTGTGATTCTGTTTTCAGAGTAATGGCAAACTAGAGAAACAAAGAATTGGAAACATCTTTGTTTGTGAAGTTTACTAGTTGGTCAGGAAGCTGAAGCTGCTTAGAGTAATGCAGGAAACAGAAATTCAGTTCATCACCCAAGAGAAAGATGCAAAGCACCCAATCCTCCATTTGTAGCACACCAAAACCTTGATCTGGTATGGTATCCCTAGAGATGAAATGGGAGAGGAAGATAAAGTCTTAGTATAGTTGTTTTACTATATTTGTGCAATTTGAAATACTAGACACACTAAAAGATTTTTAGTTTGACAGTACTGTGCTGACTACATGGATTTGTCTCCATGTGGTACATTTCAAGTATCTCAGGCAGTTTGACAGTGTGTCTGCAGGGTGTAAAAGCCAATCAAAAAGGAGAATAGACTGAGTTTTAA